TCTTGCTAAAAAAGTAGGGTCGTGGTAGATATACGAAGCGGGGAGCGCGAAGTGGAGCCCACTGATAGTTTCACTGTCGGAAGCAGGATTTGCAGTGAGAACGAGTTCGGCTACTACCGATGATGAACTAGAGGATTGGCCGCCGAATGGGGGCCCTTCTTATTTGAGCTTGCCAGTGATTGCCCAAGGCAAGCCAACTAGGCACAGGGCTTGAGACAATCATATTAGCAATTGGAAGCAGCTACAAGGTCACATGTTGTAAGGAAATTATGGAGCAATTGTAACAATGGAACCAAAGGCACCAGATATCATTCAATTAGGAGTTGATCTTATATATATCGAATCCCAAATTCTCTCCCGCATCTACCAATGTTGATCTTGTCCAGACTCCAGGCGCCTAAAATAGCTCCAGGCGCCTAAAATTCTAAATACTGATATTTCGCATCAGCATACACCGTCTCGATTCCCATGGTAGGGATTTTGAGGACTATCGTGACTCCGACTTACTGGTTCACGCGCGGCTTCAATCGCGGCCAACACTTGCTTGACCGTCTCCAAGCGCGGTGCGATGTTTGATCGAGGGTAGCGGTCGACGTACTCCTCGAGCCACGCAACTTCATGCCGGACAAGCAGGACCTTGATTTCGACGAAACGAGATTCGGCCAAGTCCATCTGGGGGTTGTTGAGCAACGCACGGAGCACGATGGCGCGAACGGCGCTTTTGAGGTCCATTTCTGCTTGGAGCTGGGAGACCCAATAACGGCGGTCACGCAAGTCTTGAGCGATAGCGAAGGGGATGACGAAGGGATTGGGAGTATCCATTGGAGAGGAATTGATGATTGGAAAGCGTATGTCTTGTGGGGGGAGTCGTAGGGTCGGAGCTGGATGAGTGGAGAGAAGTTGAGCAGAAGGTTCTGTGCACAGGAACAAAAGCTCGACTGCTTTCTCGAGGTGAAATCAAGCACCATACCGCCTTCCCAACAAACGTAGTCCTCTCGGAGCAACAGTACCGCCGGCTTATGTAAGTGAAGCACAGGCCCACCTTCCACGGTCCATATAAACCGGCCGCCCTCCCTCTCACTTACTCTTTAGTCCTTGTACGGTAATCTTCTCAATAGCCCAGCAGCGGCAGTGACGGCATTGTTGGAATGTTAAGTTCTGGCAGTGAGCATTCCTGATGGCAGCCGTCGCCATAGCAAAATCCCAAGTTCGACGCGTACCTGTAGCATATCATTGGCTGCAGTGTTGAAGGAACTGGGGGACATGGTCAATTGGTCTAGATAGCTTGTTCTAATACATAATGTTCTCCAAACTGCCACTGTTATCTGCTTGCTTGTGGTGTTGTTTGCTTGCAACTGTATGTGTGGTCAAGATGTAAGAGCTCACTGTTGTTGCTGTTATTTACCTGCGACGAACGTGCTACACCCACTGCGGTCGCAATCATGGACGAGACGTATTGCCATTTGATAAAAAGCTTCAAATGGAAGCTCTAATTGATGCGCCCGACAGCTGCAATGATCTTGGACGTGTGTTCGGTGACATCAGCGTCTCATTTGGCCGCCAACGAGCTTAGCACTACGTCCGTTAGCGCCGCAAAGCCACGTGAACAGAGGCATTGTGATTGATTCTATACACATATACTCTTATGGTCGCATAGGACATGTTCCCTTGGCCCATCGCTGCAGCTATCACTGTGAATAGAGCGCGGGCGAGAGCCTCACGAATACGTGGGAGTCAACCTCGCCTGCCCTCGCCTGCAGTACCATTGTCAGTCGCCGTGATGCGCCCCAGCCTCGACGGTAGGAGGTATCTGGAAACTTTGTGATTCAATTAGGATATTCAGGAAACTATTCGAGGTACTACTAAACGAAGGGACGGCCACTAGTAGCACAGGTGGCGGAAAGTTTTGAGCTTCGCGTTTGCGCTGCCGACGCGGGCGGCGCGCAAGGTCTAGGGCAGTGAGCCTGGGGGAGTATAGATCGCAAGAGCCCATAAATCTACCCCAAATGATTTGTCGCTGCTCGTTTGTAAGTCACTGTTGTTGTTTCCAACCCGTATAATACTCGAATTGAGCTTAATTTTTGTGTCATCAAGATAGAACTGCGCCCGTTTATGCCGACGGCGCGCCTTCTATGTAAGTGACCGCACTCGGTGCTTGACTAGGCTCGAAGTAAGCGATTTACGGCCTCTAAGCTTCGAAATGCTCATTATGTGGCATTGACAGAGTTGTGCAGTTCCTCCACCTCGGACAGCCTCTCGCTCGCCGCCTCACTAATGAACGACTTTCCTTTCGCAAAAGACCCGCGTACAGCCCTTCAAACATACAAAATGAATATATTTCAACCGGGACATGAGAAAGTCGTCTCCCTCCTGGCATTTAGTGCTATCATTGAAGGAGAAATTGACAATGAGGTTAGAAGATGCCACCTGCAGATCAGCAGTCGACATGAGAGTCAATATAACATCACGAGGGTTGCAGTGCGCTCAAGTGTTCAATACAATGACCAGAATTCATTTCTAACCTCTAGAACTGAAGCCCACCACGCTGCCTATCTCCAACGACTAGACGTCACTCCTGGTCCTCGTCGTCGTCGTCGTCGAGGACACCCTCCCAGTTGCCCTCCCACTCTACCTCAACCTCCTCTGTCGCCTCCTCGCCTCCATCTTCCTCTGCCGCCTGCCCCACGGCGTTCTCTCCTCCAGCGGACAGCCTCCCCCAAGACCTGAATGGCGCCTTCTTGCGCCACAAACGCTTCAGCCGGGGCCAGAGCCCCTCGCGGCCCTCGAGACGGGCAAGAGACTTGCGCTAGAACGTGTGAACACTGACCATTCTTTCCAACAAAATATAGAACAAGAGCACTTACCCGTTCTCCCTCCACTTTCTTCTCCTCCTGCTCAGCAGCTTTCTTCTCCTCGGCTCCTTTTGCGAGGAGCGTCTCCCGAAAGGTCTGCGTCCGCTGCTTCAGGGGGCTGCGGATCTTGATGTGTCGCCAGTGCATGGCGAGGGTTGCGGAGAGGATTGTGGTAAGTTTTGTTGGTGTGTTTGAAGGTGCTGCGAAGCGGAACGACGGGTAGGGCAATCTCTACCTTGGTGATGTTGGTGGTTTGCCAAAGGGAGGGAGCTCAAGCACAGTTGGAGTTCTACACATCCTGCCAATCTATGTACGCTACGCTCTTTTAGACTCATATTCACCATGAGAGAAACACTTTGAGTGATAGTGAAGCGGTGTCAAGAGGGATTCCTCTTTTGGAATGGGATCTTGCCATTTTTTCCTCACAGTGAACGCGGATCCCTCTCCAGCCTTGTCATCTTAGCGAAGCGAGCATAGAAAGCACGCAAACACAGCGCTTTCACTTTCTGGAATAATCTGAGGGGTAGCAATAGTGGGGACAACTGCGTGCGGGCTACTAGCGCGCTTCCGACAATTTATTGGTTATTTCGAAGGAAAACTTTCTCCCTCCTCCTCTCTTCTCATCATCCCCATCCTCAACTCAACCGTAAGCCATCCCATTCTCTATCTTTCCCATCTCCACATACTTAGCTCAACCGTAAGCCACTTGATACTCTCCCTGTATCAACACAATGTCCTCCCCACCTCGATTCTCTCGACTCCCAGACCGCGCGTTTGGGGACCGCCTTGCGGAGGCTCGCAACCTCCACCATACGCAGGCGCCGCCTCCGCCACCACGTCCTGTGGGTGCCGGCGTCGATGGTGGAGTTGAGCTCCCTCGGTCAGCAGCACCTGTCGCTCCCATTGAGAGCGATAGGACCTCGCTCCTGGGCCCCAGCTCCTCCGCCATCCGCCAGGATGCCGCGTGGTATGGCCGAGAGAAGGGCTCTTACATGAGCCCGTACGACTACAACCTCGCTGGTCGTACTGCTCGCGACAATACCACCCGGCCATCTCAAATGGCTCAGCCTGGTCTTATTCCTGGACTAGGCGCCCACTTCGTCACTGACAGCGGGCTCTCAGATACCACGAGTTCTCCAACATCCTCAGCGGCCAATCCCATGGAGCCTGAGAAGAACAATTCCGCCGAGATAATGCCCAAGGTCGAGGTCGCCCAGCCGCCTCCAGAAGTATGTATTCTCGCTCACTGCATTCTTTGATCTGGTTTCTAACGGTTTTCCAGGCTCAAGCTCGTCCCGTTCTCCTCGCGCCGCTCCGCATGATCCGCCAACATTGCGTAGACGTGTCGGGCCTCGAGCTCCTCGCCAACTTCATCGACGCCCACATGGCAGACAGTCTGCACACCATTGTCGACCGCGATGCTCTCATCCCGAGCATCGTGTACATGGTCACCATCCCCATGACCGATGAGCACTGGGACATGTACACCCAAGTCTTGTCTCGCTGTGGTCGTGCTCTGGGAGTCCACGAGATGCTCGCCGTCGGACGGGAGGAGTTCGACCAGTGGTCCAATCCCGAGGGCGCCCATATGGACCTGCCACACCGCGACGCGTACATGCGTCTCGAGTCGAGTGCAACGGCTGGTGAGAGTTTGGAGGAGGTGTTTGGGGAGCTGATCATGGACCATCGGCCCATGTGGATGGGTGCTGGGTCCGGGTATCAGGCGATGTTTGAGCACCAGATGAAGTAGTGAGGAGGCTTCAATGGTGGTAGTGGAGGAGAAGGGGTTGTGATGGGGGTAGATTGAGCTCCTAACGTCTCTGTGACGTTCGTCTTCGCGCTGCTAGAGCGCTTTGGAGATATCCTGGCTTTGCCGTAGAAAATGAGAAAGTACAATTCATGCATTCCAAATTGTATCCTGAACGTGTGATATCTTGTGTTTATCGGGCTGTGCAATTCGACTAGGAAGGGGCAGAAAATTTGCTACGGTGCCTTCCTACTGCGAACTTGGTGAGAGAATTTCACCTGCCACTTGTTTACTCAAGTGGGGCCATTCTACCACTGGCCTTTTTTGCTTCTACGAACCAAAGAGCCTTTCGTAGATATATATTTAGAAATTCCGTATGCTTTCATAGAAGAAAATACATCGGCGAGGTGGTGTAGTGGCTAACACGACTGGTCGACAGCAAACGCCCGTTGGTGTGCGCTGCGCCGGTAGCCGCGGGTTCAAGTCCCAGCCCTCGCCCTTCTTGGTTCTTAATTTTGGGTAATCTCAAGATTAAGAGCCGGATTTTTGCTTGTTTTTACCCCATTATAGTGTGTGATCCTTTGTGTGTATCATTCCAATCCAGAAACTGGCGTGGAACCACAGATACACATTCTTTTGTATCTCTGCATTCATTTGCTTTGCAGAGCTCTCGATACTGAAGGTGTTTTCCACTGCAGCAGGATATAAGGAGGCAGTCAATAGACAGAACAGGAAGCAATTCTATTTTCTTGCCAGTAGCAGTTGTCGCGCACACAGCAGTACAACCAGGTTCCATCGTGATATGAACCTTTATTTGCTGCTGTTACCGAAAGAGTCAATTCTCTTTGGATAGGCGAGCTTGAACATATGTCAATAGCAGCTCCACAATTAGCATGTGTCTCGAGTTTCTTGCAACCGCTTGGTGATTGAACCGCCCGAATGGTTGGTATGAAGAGGACTACTGTTATTCTATAATGCACTACAATCCAGCCACTGAAATGATTATGCAGAGCCGTAGGTGTATCTTGGGGGTCCCGAACACGGTGAGCCATCTGGCCCTTGAGTCAGTTCAATCAGTGAACAGCTGCCAGTCACACAGGCAAGGCGGCTCTGCGAGCCCCTTCCCTGAGTCACTCTCAGCTCGATTACGTCAGTTCTAGGCCACCATTTTCGTGCTTCTGTGATTGGTGTGCCCCAAAGGTTTAGCGTGCCTGCCTGTTGCGGAAGATAAATATCTCACCCCATCCACGCTCTTACCTCCTACCTCCCACCTCCTTCCTTCTCTCTCGCCGCTCCTTCCTTGACAACGCTCCCATCTCCTCTGTCCTTCTAGGACCCAAAATTATGAACCAAGAAAGGCTTCGGCCTATTACGCATTTTCGCGTAGTGCTTGCTGGACAAGCACCCGTAAGTCTTATCTACTCATCTTCTCTGACAAATTTGCTGACTCCTCGAAGTCGGCTGTCCGGCCACCGGTAAGACTCATCCATTCAGCTCCTATCACGACAGTGTAACTAACTTCGACAAGGTGGCTGCGCTGGCGCAGCCATACACCATTTGACAGCCGCTCAGCAGCACCAGTCAACGTCGGACGTCCCAAGATCTGCTGAGCGGCGCGTCTGAACATCCAAGTTGGCTTGGGTATGCGGATGTTTGTCCCATGTGGTGTGCACCAGACTAATGCCCAACCGAAGATGCCCCCCCTTTTCTTGGGACCAAGTGCCGCAACGCAGGTCGTTGCGGCCGCAATGTCCAACAAAATGGAGCAGTCTTTGGACGAGATCCTCAAAGCCAATAAATCGACGACGCGTGGTGGCCGCGACTGCAGCTCCCGTCGGCGGTGTCTCCAAGTCGACGAAGCCCGCCCGCCACGGCAAGACCACCCCATCTGCGCCTGCTGTCGCAGCAGGCGGAGAGACCAAGATCATGGTGTCGAACTTGGTATGTCACTTCAAAACAGTAATTTTAATGCTAGACCTGACTGACTCGCCACAGCCTCTGGACGTTGAGCAGGGCCAACTCCAGGATTAGAGACCGTTGCAGGTCATGTCGATCAAGGAGAAGCATGGTCCGGGCGGTGGATTGGGATTCATCTGCTGTCTCGCCAAGCTGATATCATCATGTAATCTCTGGTGGCACTCGATTGGCGAGTTGACCCAAGTGCTCCGGGTTCGGCAGTGAAGGAGATTTGGGATAGCAGTGTGGAAGTAGATAGAAGACACCCCTCTACAATTGACTCATGTCCACAACAACATCTCACATTGCACACCATACTCTCAAGTATTACACACGTCTTCACTATCCACTTGTCACCCAACATAACGTACCGCAATCATCTTCAACGTCTTCAACGATGCCGCTCGTCGTCCGCAACGCGACGCGTAGATCCCCAAACTACGCCCTTATCTGTCTCAACATCATCTGCGCGATCTTCTTTCATATGTTCCTCGTCATCGCAATAACCGACGTTCCACGGGATAGGGACGACTGGACGGAGGACGCGGTGGTCTATGTCGTCACGAAGAACAGCAGGCGAGGACTTGTGTTCTTCATACGCTTCATCGCTGCGTACCTCTTCGTCTTCTCGGCAACTATCCTCGCCGGCTTCTGGTGGATTGAGTTTGACGGAGTTTTGTCAGCATTCTGGGGGCCTGAGGGGGTGGGCCAGGATGAGATTTGGTGGCTTTGAGGGAGTGTTGTGTGCCTCCTGGGCTGGGGTTGAGAAGCGGACGTCTGAATTGATATGGGCGTCTGGTAGCTTTGGATGGATGCTGGGTGGGTTCCGGTTGAGCGGTTGGGCTGCCTGGTGAGCGACGGCGAGGATGTCATGGACGGGGACCTGGAGTAGATAGAATTTCACCATTATGCACCCCTTCAATTTGTGAGATTGAGTTCACACCCGGAACATTGTACAGACCCTTATGCTCTTTGTGTGTTGTGCACTCCAACCTCTCGAACTCTTCCGCACCTTCCCTCTGAGCCGCTGCAACACTTCACCCACCCCAGTCCACCCCACCCCACTACCACGAACCGCAACGCCCACACGTCGAATCACGAATACCTGGTAACACAGAGAAGTGGGAATGAGATCAGTTGCTTCGTGCACTGGATCAGAATAAATGAGGTCGGAAGAATTGGGACTCCATAGGGAACACGCCCTCCCCCTCCTGCCCCTCGATACGCTCGCGCGCCGCCTTTCCTGATGATCGAATACGAGAAGACGGCAATACGAGAAGGGGCGAAGTATCGGGATGAGATATAAGGGGATACACGGGGGACGTTCACAGACTGGCTGAATCACGCTACCTGGCGGCGCCGCGGGGCTGAAGGGGGACATGTTTGGGACGCAAAGAATGACATCTAACCCCACTAACCATCAGGAAAGGTGCGCCAATGCAAATGATTTGTATGCGAGAGCGGGGAATAATATGGGGTGATCTGGGAGAAATTGAGGACACTGACTGCATGCTTGACATCGAGGGCATTGGACGCCGGCACCTCGCCCTCGACGACCGAGTCATTCGCGCGACCCGCCACATCTGTAACCCGTCAGGCGCTCTACATAGTCTTGGCCATATCCAGAGCATCTTCTGTACGCTCAGCACTATGATGGCCGCAAACGATCCGGCGGCAGGAGCACGGACAAGGCGCTTCGACGACTCCATCTCGCGAGGGTGGACTCAGGATGAGGGGGGTAAAATAACCCTACCTCCCGCATTTCACAAACATTGGAGGTTGTCGCGAGTATGATGGACCTCCTACTCTAGCCTACTTGCGACCTGAGTGCCAATGGCGCATACTGTCACAAGGTTCGTGATGCGGGGGTCGACTCACATTGCCCAGCAACAGTACCCTTCGACTCCTTCAGCGCCACCACTATCAATTCACATTCCATGGTAGCGGAGATGGGATGTAGGAGCTAGAATATAGCGCAGTTCACAAGAGTAGACGCTGCGTCTTCAATGCTATGCGGCAGTGTTCCTAGAGCATGGGCGCCGTGACAATGCCCATACGACTACCACAATCAGGACCATCCTCGAGGTTGCGAATAGTAGCGCAATGCGTCAAGGGTAATACTATCACGTGAGTTTGTTGCGCCTTACATCGTGCTCCCCCTGCTTCGAGCGGGAGCGAAAGTAGCTAACAGGACAGGCTCAAGGCATGAACTCGTTTCACCGACAGCCACGCCTACGTCTCCACGCCGACGTCTCCGCTTTCGATACTGCTTCCTTCTCCGAGGTTCACCCAGCTGCGACCTCTTCGGGAGAGAGCATACGGGGACTTTTGCACCTTAGCTGGAACTAGAAGAATAACCTGGTGGAGCGCCGCACTTTCTGTCCCTGAAGCGAGGGTGAGTCCCCAGATTCGGGAATCGGTGGTTCCTAGCCCAGTTCGCACCCTCGCTGTTCAGTCATTCTGAGGCAGCGCACGGGGTTGATTCCGGAGGAAACACAGTCCAAGGGGGCGGTGCACAGTGACGGGTGAATCCCTGTTCACTCTACTGTGTTGTTCATCCATTGGCATGGCAGCAGCAGAGACTTTCACAGTGTTATATTCCAGAAGCCCAGGCCTCAAGCGTGCAGCAGGCAAGAGTGACCCATGGCCTAGTTTAAGCCTGCCTCGGTGCACGTCCGTAAGCTATCTCTTCTTTGACGGCGTTTCCACAGCAAAGAGTGACATTAACTAATGAAGTCATCGTAGTCACACCTTCTCGGGGAACTCAACGAGATAGGGTACTGGCAACAGGATCCTCGAACAGTGCTTGATGGAATAATTTCTGCGAAAGCCCTCGAATGGCCACTTCGAGACTCGAAAGACAACACAGCAAGAACGGGACTGGACGGAGGACCAAGATCAAGCGCCGCTGCGAGAAAAGGTGGTCGCAGCTCCAAACTCGGGTCCTCACTCGTATGCGTCATATCCTATGTACCAAAATACCGCAGTGATCCCCGAAAACCTCAGAGGTGAGTAGTCGCTATAACCTGCCGACAGCGCAATCAAGGCGCGGATATCTGAGGAATGTTGTGCCAGAGACAAACATTAACATGAACAAGGCTGCGCCCCCCAGCAACCTTCCAGACCTTCCGTGCGCCTGCTACAGGCATGCTGGTTTTATCGATCAACCGCCCCAGTACGCAGAATCGAGAACTGTGGAGGTGATGGGACAAGCATCCAAGATGATGTTATGATACTGGCATCTGGTGATACCAAGTGCGCTCTGCCGCATGGAAGCAGCTGTCAACACTGAGCCAACTACTCACAGCAAGACTCGGATACCCAATACTCGCGGCATTCAGGAAAGCAAGTCCACGATGCGACGCATTACAAAGGGACAGTGGATGTGGCAGCCGGGATTTTCAACATCCCTTTGACATATGATGTAGCGCTGCGGGTCGATGGGGATACCCAGGCGAGGGCATCACATCCTGACCTACTACACTGAAGTCTGTCGATGATACGGTTGGATGGTACCCTTCAAGAGCCAACGATCTACCTATC